ACAGAATTCTGAGAAAGAAAAATCAGAACTCACAGCCAATATTTGCGGTGGCCCTAATCTTGTTTGGTAGCTCTACATGACTGAAACCTCAATATTTCAACTCATGGTAAATCCTGTCACTTTCACACACCGCAGGCAGAATATTAAATGAACTGTAGATACATTGATCACATTGCAGGCTTCTTGGCTCTCACATGTTTGTCTTTGCAGCATGAACAGACTAAGCCCCTTTACTCAGCTGTCATAATTTGTTAACGAGTCTTTTCAAAGAGAGAAAAAAGAGAAAGAGAAGAGAGAAAAAAGAAAAGAAGGCTCTTCACGAGCGGCTGAAAGCAGAGGTCCAACCAGACAGGGAACCCAGGGGCGACATCAGACCGATTTTAGACCAGCTCGTGATGGCATCTCAGTATATTTTAATATTAATGACCCCGACTGCAAAGCTGCGTCTAAGCCTCCAACAGGTGCCCCAGCCCCACTCGAGCTTGAAAACCTGGGATCATTCAACATCCCGCTATCCACCGGGCAATAAAGACGGCAAATGAAGAGGATGAAGGCAAAGTGGGGGAAAAAGACATAAAGAGTGGAAGGGGAGTTAGAGAGTCAGCCATCTCTTGGAAATAAGTTTTTTAGTCACTTTCCCCAGCTGAAACAGGGGTCGATATTTCCCCCCCTCCTTGAGAAAGAGATTGACTTTTGTTTGGAGTTTGTGAGAAGTGGGAATCAGGAGCAGGACAATGGGACTCCCCACGGTGAGAGGCTGAGAGGAGCCATCTCAAATCAGTCAGCCAGGGGACTGACTAATCCGTCCATTGTCCCTCCCCAGCCACCGGCCGCACATCAACACATTCGGCCCCCATTGTCCCCCACCCTCATGCAGCGGGATTTGCTCTGCCCAACAGCCAGTTTTGTCCACGGCAGTTCGAGCGGAAGTTTCTCACTGACAATTTGCCCCAAATAGATTTGTCAGAGCGTCCAACTGCACCACACCGACTTGGATTTCTGGGTTTGGGTCCTGTGTGTGTGTGTGTGTGTGTGTGTGTTGGGGGGGACACTAACATGGTGAGGCTTTGGCATGTCTAAGTGTGCATGGGTATGTGGGTACATACAAAGGTGTGCTTGATTACACACAGAGGTGGAAACAAACCAAGCACATTTTCTCAAATACTGTAGCCTACTTAAGTATAATTTTAAAGTATCTGTACTTTACTGCAGTATTTCCATTTGCTGCTACTTCATATTTTGCATTCACTACATTTTAGAGGCAAGTATTGTACTACCACATGTTTTTGATACCTTAAGTTACTTAAGATTTTTTTTTTAATAAAACAAAATACAACATAACACCTAATTGATCCAGGGTGGGAAATTCACAAGCTACCCAGAAGTATGTAAAATACTTCAAATTAGAAGTACATATAATTATAAGGTGGTTAACATTAGCACCATCTTTACCAGCTGAAATATTAAATGTGATATACACAATAAAGTATCAGTAATCATAAACCAGTAATACAATATTAATGTGAAATGTGCCATTCTGCATAAAGAGTACCTTTAATTTATTTTGATGTTAATACTTTTGTAATTTTACTTCAGTAACATTACGGGACTGTAACTTGTAACAGAGTACTTTTACAGTGTGGGAGTGCTACTTTTACTTGAGTAAAAATTCTTAGTACTCCTTTTACCACTGATTACACACCAGTGGAGGAGACGATGGGACCAGTCGCTCACTGTAAGTGTTTTAGACTGTAGCTTATGAGCTGGTCACTTTTGACTGCAGTGACTCTGATGTCCTATATTATTTAACTGCTTGATTGATTTGGCTTTCAAATAATATCTGCAGTTTGCTGACACTATAAGAAATGTGTTCATCTGTACTTACATTTTGGATATTTGATGCTTTTGTACCACTTTCCAGTAAATGATAAGTTGTGAATAAACTGGCCCAGATTGTCCACAGGTTTTCCTCAAGGTAAATAATTTGTGTCCTGCTTGAGGATAATCACCTGCAGTTTTTTCCAACCTGGCAACCCCAAAAGCTGTTCTTAATGGCTTGTAATTAGTTCATGAAGCCTTAGTAGATGACTTATTAACCATTAGTAAAGCCATTAAAGTTGTGTATTAGAAAGTGAGACCAGTGTGAAGTTAAAGGCTTAGTGGATCCTGTTTGTCTCAATTCACTTCACTGTCTGCAAAGCAAAGCAAATCATAATCAAATGTGAACTGTATCTTAACTAAATGTCTTTGACCAGCCTACTTATAATCCAGTTATGGGCCTGTATTAGTGGAATGAGCACGTGGACAGGTAGGCTAACAGGCATCCGCTGTAGAACTGTCCGTGGTGCTGAAGCCAGGCTGCATACTTCACCCTGTCACGTAGTTCTCTTAGCTAAGATGGGTCTTTGGACCGGTTGGCAAAGCATTTTTTTTTTATTTTCAGCCCCAGGTAGCTACATTACATCACATTTTAGTGAAAGAATCTCCTATCAGAACACCAAACTGTATAATACTTCACTGGTGAGACAAGCATCTCCTGAGCTAAACGCCAGGGGCGTCCGTGGAGTCTAAGATGAGTGACTATGATCCCAGGTCAGGTTTAAACGAAGCAAGGCTGCATGGCTTTTTTGATCGGCTTGAATTCTAGCAATTATGCGCTCCCGGAAGCTTAATGACTTCTCCTTGAAGCCAATTGGTTTGCGCTTGGCCGGTTTGGGGCCTGCACAAGTGTTAGGAGTGCGTAAAATGATGGTTAAACCATGGCGTCCATGCGATTACCGACAGCAACAACAACATAAATGTACCCATTTAGCAAAAACTGTGACTCTGGCGTACTGAAGGAGCACTGTTAAAAGAAAATCACAAGTATCGTATACTGTACCTATACACGCCATTTACACCGGACATGTTTTTTCATTGCTCAAAACTGATTTGGACAAAAAGTCATTCCGAAGATAGGCGTGTTCTTTAAGTATTGTTTTGTAGTGACTTCTGTTGGACTCACTCGTTTCTCGTTGTTAAAGTCTGTCCTATAGCATGTCAAGTGTCCGCATACTGATGCAGAGCTCCCAACATGCAGATACACAATCCACTGCCCCCATTGTTGGCGTCATTTCATTGACTGTTGGAGGAGAAGAGAGTCACTAATACAAAAAAGTGAAAGAAGGCAACCCCGGCAACCATGATGTTGGTTATATTTGTGTAAAGGCTATCAGTGAATGACGAGGATTAGGACGAGTTAAGGAGATTATGTCACACATTCACCATTCACCCACCCCAGCAACCACCCACCCACACCCACACACACACACACACACACTTAGAAATAACTGAAAATGTTATTGATCTGTGATAAAATGTAGCTTTTGGCCCTGTATCATTTTCTAAATGAATCACCAATAAAACAAGTGGTCGTTACTTACAAAAACAAATACTTCAAAAACAGACCGAAAGTAGTCTTCATGATGAAGGTGCATTGTAGCCTTTATTACAGACACCATTCATGAAAGATTAAAATAGATATACAATATATATATGTGTGGCTACAGACTTCCTACTGAGGACCATAGGCTTTTCTGGGCTTCTGCAGACAAATCAAAGGAATATTAGTGATTCTTCCTCAGGCTTGTTAGTCTGTTCAACTAAAGGGCAGGTTGAAAGACACAACAATGGCTAATTGCAATTAAGTACGCCTCTCCGCCTCGCTGCTGTCCGTTTAAATCGACACTTTGTGTGTCCATATGGCCGTCGGTGTACCGTGGGAATGAGCACAATTAAAAACAGAATATGGATTTCTGGAGTTACCCAGCGAAAGCACAGCAAGCTGTCAAGGTCAGAGTCTCAGTGAGCGGGGCCTGCAGCCCGACTCACGACCCCCCGGGCAGCCGGGCACGGCCTACACCCCGGTGTCCCCAATCCGCTGGGAGGTGTGCAACAGCAGACTGCATGGTAAAAACCAGTTTGTCAATGAATCAATGAATTTCCCCACTTCCAAGGCAATGATATTTTCTCTTAGGGGTAAAATAAATATCCTTCCAAATTATTATTAGTATCATTAATAATATCAAGTGCATTTCCAGGACAAGATGAGATGCTATTGTGTGACTTTGGTGCAAAAGTGAGAGAGTGGTTGCAGAAGAGTTGGGAATAAAAACAACAAGTAAAAGGAGCAAAGAAGTCAAAAAGGTGCAGGAGAGCATGGTTATGGAAGTAACAGCCTAATTAAAGCATTGTGGGGATGCAGGTGTAGTTCAAGACTAAACACAAAACTACACTATAATAAGAGTCAAGCAATAGCCCACGTTGTGATTAAATAAAATTGAGCAGTTGAAATTAACATAAAAGAGACAGAGGTTATGAGACAGTCCGCGTGCTATTATTGTTGTTTTCATAAATGTAGCAGTAGTACGGGCTTGTGTTTTTGTCTGCTTATTTGTCTCTATTGCGGTTCGTTATAATTTGTGTTTAAAATGAAAAGAGATGAGAGCGCACAAGTCATATGAGGACAGTAGGTACAATGGAAGAAACACTCAGTGCGCACATTTGTTTGTATGTATAAGCATTTACAAAAATGATTAAAATGAGCATTTTGTCTCTCATGCAAATTAAAAAAAGTGCACCGGTTTAGCTACTTATGGTCTGGATATTACTGCCCAGCTAACGAGCTCTAATTTCTGATTGTTTACATTAATCAATTGATGAGAAATCCTTTGAATGGATACCGATAAATTAGGCAAAATAACGACTTAAAACACCTGTTGAAAAACATTGTGATCAGTGGCCTAAAGCTCAGAAAGACAACTTATAAAGAAGGGCCAATGTTTCCTTTAATACAACATTATAATCCTCCCTCGTCCATGTGAACCGACATACCTCAGCACCCCTCATATTGTTTACAGTGATCATGACTGCAAGTTTTCTGCAGGAACATCACTTGCGCGCGCGAACACACGCACACACACACGCCAGTGACGTCAGGCTGGAGTTTGGAGTAGAAAGCCAAGTGGATGAAGGAAGTGGAGATCTCCACCCTCCAGCCTCCCCCTGACACTTCTCATAAATATTGCCAAGGCTTATGTGGAGAACTCGTACCACAAAGTCACATCGTGTCCCGGGTTTAACAAGCGTTCACTTAACAGAATATCCGAAAATCGATTTGTCTTTTGCCTCACCAGTTTCGCTTCAGGTAGCTTTTCTCCAACGAAAACTTTATGCTCCGGCTGTTGCGCCCCGAGCTGGAGAGCTGCTGTCGCCGTTAACCGGTTGCTGCCACCCCAGGCTACAATCCGCTTCTCCGTCCTTCAACCCTGCATGTCGGAGGCGAAGACTGTCTAATACAATGTACCATCGAATGTCTTAATTTGTGGTCGACAGTCGGAGATCTACTCTTGTTAAGTTGGGAAACTCGGGACTTTGACTTAACGATCAAAAAAAAAATAATCAAGGAAAGTGCTGCGGTTTCACAAGTTCTGTTGCTTTGGTCAGCAAGAATAAGAAGATAAGGGACATTTTTTCATTCTGAACTTTATGATAAAGTCGAATATCCATGATGAGCAAACCCGCCGGCTCAACAAGTGGCTGTTTGGATATTCTCAGTGTCAAATCAAGTAAGTGTCGCTTTTCTCTTTCCTGGCGCTTGTGAAGAATACGGAGTGTGAGAAGTAACAGGCCTTTCTCTGGCACAAAGTGGAAATAAATCAGAGCTACGATAAAGTTACTCTCACTTACAGGACATGTTAGTGTCTTTAGAGCATCGCTACAATAATGAAATTAGTTCATTGCTCTTGGCTGGTGATTTGTAGAGAATGGCGGTTTCTTTTTCCAATTGCGCACACTTGGCTGCTTACACTCGTGTCCGCGACTGGTAAAGCATCAGGCTTACTGGGAAGACACCTCTAAAGAACTATACTTTTGGGTTGATCAGGTTTTCAAAAGGCAAAGAAGTAATAATCTGTACCCATGCTCCCACTTGATGCCACTTGTTGCCTGTAATTTCGTTTTCAGAAACGTCTCGAAAAGAATAAAAACGCAACAAACTGTGATATTTAAACGTCGAGAATATGATGGTAAAGTTTAAACTAGAGATTCTTCTTTTACTGCAGTGCAATTAACCTCTTTTAGACAAATACCTAAAATAGCGCTTCTCTGTCTTTAAAGGTGTGATTGTTTGAATGCGTTGGTTTCTGGACAATGAAAACGGCCTTATTTAATTAACCTTCAATGTATTCCGTCATTTTAGATGAAATTATTGACTATTTTCTTATAGTATTATCTGTTGTTTATAGATAAATTAAAGTGGAATTGAAGTCTCCTTCTTAGCTTTTGCAATTATCCCTCTAGGCCTGAAAATGAATTCAAAACAAATCACACTAATCCTAACGAAGAACCACAATCATATACTAATTTGTTTTAAACAGACAGGAAATCATTTACGTTTCCTTTTGCTTGTGTGCTTCTTGGTATCTTTTACCACCTCGGAATATATATTACTCGAGCACAGTGTCTCTGTTATGTTTCATCCACAGATACTCAAATGTATCCAAAATGCTGCAGCTAACCAACATGTTTTAATGACAACAAAACAACTCACCCCACAACATTTACTACTACTGTCATTCAAGTTCACACCCACATTATGGGTGGCCAGTGGAAACATTTCCTTCTCTCAGTAAAACGTAATTTCCAGTTCTTTTAGCAGGTTCTCGCCTTGATGGTGATTACGTTAATAGAATATGCCATATATCTTCAAGTAATTACTGCGCACAATGGAGACGAATTGGTCCCCCACAGCGGGAAGTTAAATACATTTCTCCCCTTCTTAACAAAAATTGTGCGTCATTTCATTTAATTGACTCTTAGCAAACACATTATTTTATTTGTTTGAGCCGGTCTTAAACTTTCTTTCACGTTTGATTTAATTATACTTAAAACTTTTATGTTGGGACTGTGCAAATGACCTCGACGTGCATGACATTAGTTTTTTATACATATATATATAATGTAGTCAATAAGTGACTCCAGGAAGTAGTCGTGATTTTTATTACAAGTGAAAACATATAAAGTATTTGCCTGGCCTATAAACAACTGCGAACTGTACTTACTATACCAGCAGCATATTGAAAATGTTGAATTCCTGTAAGATGACTTTCAACAAGCCAGCTCAAAGAAATTTAACAGAAATTCATGCTACACAAAAAGTTGCCTCTGTCTATCTTACACCAATTATGTGGCTGTGGCCCAAAGTTAAATAGCCTTCGTGGGCTCCTGATTCTTAATAATATGGCAAGTGAAGTCTTACAACTATCGCCTGAAGTCATTGTTTTTGCTGCTGAGTAGTTATTCCCATGCTACCCTTTTTGACGGGTCACTGGTGAATCAATGAGCAGGTGGCAAAACGTCAGTGTAATTACATAGACTGCTTTTCTCGCCACAATAAAAAAGACTCCCTCATATGCATACAAATATACCCCTTTTTAATAGGTGTGAATACAAAATCTTCACCCAAAAAAAAATCACATTTTTTTCATCTACACCGGGGTCGATTTACATACACTTCATTTGAGTTGGAGAAACGAGTTGGTGCGTATTATTCTCATGGTGCAGTGTCACTCCCTAATCCTGAGGCCTATAGACCTGCGGGATAAAGCAGCTGTCGAGTCCCATTATGAAGGGGAGTTGGCAGCTTGTCGAGATCCAGGCAGTCAGACGAGGTTCAATGGGGGAAAATCATTAAGTTAACACTTTTCCCTAATGTCTCCATTGTGCCCCTTGAGGCCATTGTCTTAAAGAGTTCATATATGACGCTTCCCACCGGACTTTAGTCTTAAAATGTGCGCAGTAAATTCCCATGGTCCGGACGAGGCGCAGGGCACTGCCCAGTGTGTGTTTGTGTGTGTGTGTGTGTGTGTGTGTGTGTGTGTGCCCGCGCCCGCGAGTGTTTTGTGTGACAAAAACAAGCATTGATCCATAGTTGGCCAATGTATCAAAGCATTTTTTTGGAATTTACTCCAAGTCCACAGTCGCAATTCAAACAGTTTAACCAACTGCGAAATTCACTTCACTGAAATAAAGAACTAAACTGTGAGCACACGTTTCTCAAGTTTTGAGTCAACGTTTGAAATTCTTTCCACATCTTTACTGTTGCAATTAGGATTCCTATCGAGCAATAAAATGTCATTCATTTAAACTGAGTTGCGTGCCTCCCAGTGCTCGGTAATTTATTGACCACGACATCTAACTGAAATGTTGGCCTTTCCCAGGTCGGATTCTGGACATCCCATGCAAAGTGTGCGGTGACCGCAGCTCAGGGAAACACTATGGTGTTTACGCCTGTGACGGCTGCTCAGGATTCTTCAAGAGAAGCATCCGAAGAAACAGAACCTATGTCTGTAAATCTGGCTCTCAGGTGAGGCCTCATTACAGTTTGTTCAGACGCTATAGGCTAACGCCATCCTCCTTTATGTGGTCCTGAATTGGCTATGAGACATGTGCACTCGGTATAAGTGTATTTGTGATCATGTCCTTTTTTAAATCATTTTTTTATGGAGAATCAAGTCAGATGAAGATAGAAGCAACCGCGGAAAACTTATTTGAAAACCACATTACAAAATCAAACTAGGAATAAATTCAATCACTGTGATATGCATCCCGCAATTTATAGCAGTCACCAAAGAATATCCAGTGCTGCATTTGTGCCCAGACGGATTTGTATGCTCTGGTTCTCCTTCCCAAATCAATAATGATTTTTAGGCTTTACGCATGGAATGCGCATTTTACGCGCGGATTTCTGTTTGCTGTACCCTTCTGATGCTGAGCTCAGTCTCCCTTGATAAGCATAATTGTGTCATGATTTAAGTGCTGAGCTAAATACCGTGCTGCTGTAATATATCAGGTGTAATCCAATCTAATGTGATGACTCGAAGGCGAGGATTTAGGCAGCAGAGGGCGGGATAGGGTACTTATCCTGCGGAATGAGGCCGCACTGGAGCCGCAGGGGAGCGGGGCGATAACTACACGATAATAGCACGATCTTTCACCTGGGGAATGGCCTCCCGGGAAGATAATAGCATGAAGCCCTCTGTCACGGAAGCTGAGAGAAATTCATCTGCAAGCTATAACCCCTGTTTTCTCCCGCTCTCTCTTTCTCTGTGCAGGGTGGTTGTCCCGTAGACAAAACTCACAGAAACCAGTGCCGAGCGTGCCGGTTGAAAAAGTGTCTGGAAGTGAACATGAATAAAGACGGTAAATACGCTTAACAGAATTAGCACTTTGGCTATAGACACGTCATGCAGTGGGGTTTGAATTCGAGGTGGGCAACCAGGGTGGAAAAGTGCTTCAAGTCTGTTAATCAAGGCACAAAAGAAGATGATAATTACCTACTCGTTACTGGGTTTAAAGGGATATTGCTCATACTCTACGGGAGCCTTGATAGAGCTCAGCTCATTATTACCAGTTATTTATATGGCTTTACACAAACAACATTTGGACTTTGCACTTACGCGCCCTAACTAAATTTAAGAACTGTTAGTATGAACATTATCCTCTGGGAATATGCAGAAGGATCACTCCTTCATTCTGTCCCTGCTGTGCCGATTCACAGCCGTTCAGCACGAGAGGGGGCCTCGGACGTCCACCATCCGGAAACAGGTCGCCCTGTATTTCCGGGGCCACAAAGAGGTGAACGGATCGTCTGCACATTTCCCAGGATCCTCTTTGCCCGGCCCCCCATTCTTCACCACGGTCACGCAGCTAGAGCCTCACAACTTGGAGATGAGCGCAGTGGCCACCACACCAGAGAGGCAGGCCATAGTGGGTCTCGCACAGCCCACCCCAAAGGTATATTTTTGGGATATCTTTATAATTCAGTTCTTATGTTTTGTTTTTATCGCCCCTGGATGGAACAGTTGTACTTTATAAGTAGCTTTCTAACTCCAAATATATTGCAAGGATACAAATTAAAGGATAGAATTTAAAATAGAAATTAATCTATAACCTTTTATGCCCTTTTTAGATGTTTTCTAAATATACAATATACAACTTCCCAAATGTTATTATAGGATTACGGGGGGTTCGTAAGGGTTAGAAGTTGAAATTCTCGTCCCGATTTAGCAGCGTTTAAGATCCACAAATCCGCAAATCAGAATTCTCACTGTAAATCCACAACACTAATAGTTAGAAACCAGGTGCTGGAGCCTGGAGTGTGACCTTTGTTGTGCACTATTCTCCGAACTGTGTTTCAGTGTAAAATGAACTGATACATGGCGATGCTGATGATGATGATGTTCTCTTATACATTCGCTCCAGTATCCCCATGAAGTCAGCGGCACCCCTATGTATCTCTACGAAGTGGCAACAGAGTCTGTGTGCGAGTCGGCGGCGCGCCTCCTGTTCATGAGTATCAAGTGGGCGAAAAGTGTTCCCGCATTCTCTACGCTCCCATTATCTGACCAGGTAGCTACTGTACCCTTTGGTTTAATAGGCTGAAGACTAGTTTAAGCAATGAGTCCGAACTTTATCCTGGAACAGCAGCAATGTAACGTCCTGCCTGGAACAAATGGTTCTATAATATTTTACTTGATATCATTTCAGGCTTAAAGATTTGATGACAAACAATGTTAGAAACTGATGTTCACTGCTACTGAACTGAACTTTCTTCTGGCCAATATACATATTTTACGCACGAGTTACTGTTTTACTCAGACTTCTTAAAATTCAAGTAATTGTTTGTGGTGTAACGTTTAAAACACTGAAACAATTCCACTTCACAGCTGATTTTGCTGGAGGATGCTTGGAGAGAATTATTTGTTCTGGGTATCGCGCAGTGGGCCATTCCAGTGGACTCCACTACTCTGCTTGCTGTTTCTGGTATGTACAAGTTATGAAATTGCCTATGTGAATACATGCATCATCAGCTATGGGTTAGCACAGTCAGTTGCTCTATAATGCTCTGGTGACACCCTCTATGATGACGTTCTGTTGATAGGAATGAACACTGAAAACACAGACTCTCAGCGGATGAATAAGATCATGTCTGAGATTCAAGCACTTCAAGAAGTGGTCACCCGGTTCAGGCAGATGCGCCTTGATGCAACAGAATTCGCCTGTTTGAAATGTATCGTGACATTCAAAGCTGGTGGGTTCACATTCTGAGTATATTACATCAAAGTCATTAAACTGTACACGAGTTCATTTCTATCAGAGAAGGAGAATAAAACAAAAGCTCCTTTCGTGGCTCAATTAATAGTCGTCATTACTTGTGTATTACACCAGGACCGTTTTAAACTCGGCCTCTTTTTCACAGTTCCTACGTCAGCTGGTAGCACTGAGTTAAGAAGTTTCCGCAACGCCAGCGCCATCGCTGCACTACAAGATGAGGCACAGCTCACTCTCAACAGTTACATACACACAAGGTAAGATTCATCTCACGTGATAAACTAATGATGTTTTACGCACGGCACACCGTCTCCTGCATGTCACTGTTCACAGCGGCATTCATTATAAAGTTAATGAGGCAATAAGCCACTGTAGTCTGCTGTAATTTTGCACAGGTGCGATAAATGACTCTCGTTTTTAATTAGCAGCTATTTGTCACAGGTGTGCGCTAATTGGCGAGGCTGCAGACTACACACATACCGCAAGAGAGGCTGTGTTTGACCCCTGTCATGTATTTCAGGTACCCAACTCAGCCCTGTCGCTTCGGGAAGCTGCTCCTGCTCCTGCCGGCGCTCCGCTCCGTCAGCCCGTCCACCATAGAGGAGGTGTTTTTCAAGAAGACCATTGGAAACGTGCCCATCACCAGGCTCCTCTCCGACATGTACAAGTCGAGCGATATATGAATTCTCGGCGTCTGCCCAGGCACATGGAAAAGAGCCAGAGACCCACCTAGCAGTGGACAGAATGTCAAATCATAGCAGGTGTAACCATGTGTTGAATTTTTGCTGAGCACAAATCACTTAGGCTATAGCCGATTTAGGCCTGCGCGCCACTGAAACAAAGACTGCAACACAGACTGAATTCACCAAGTAGCCTGTTACAAGTTGCTCTAGTTAAGGGTTAGCCTGTGATTTCCATTAGCATTTCCTGTATAAAACTGAAAACTGGCGTGGGCACAGACAGCCTACAGTGTTTCAATGTGGCCTAAAGACTGGGGAGCACCTGCCAAGTTTGTCTGTCGAGCAAATGTTAAATATTAAGAAGTTTTTCGAGTGTCTGTGGGACCAATGAGCTTGACCGACAATTCAGTCTTTTTTTTTTTTTTGCTGTATTCAATCCCAATGGAGGAAACCAAAAAAAAAAAAAGATGGCGCATGCGTAGTGGGACATGTGAGACGCTGTCCCTCGATCCGGTGCTGAAACCAAACGCACAGGACAACAACGAGGAGGTGGCAACTCCACAAAGAATCAAGGATGGAAAGACTTTTAAAGGATATGTCCGCATTGCCTCCTGACTGTAAAGCTACATTCATCAGAAGACGGTGTTTGTATTTAAGTGGTTTCTGTCCTGTTTGTGTGTCCTGTTTGAGGCGCAGCATTACAAATGTTTAGGTCGACTTTGTGAAGTTAGACTAACACTGGATAAAGTTATATTTAGCACTTGGAAATGTTTTGTGGCCTGTGATGTTTTTATTCTGTTGTAAATACCCGAGTTATAACTATTCAGAGTTGTAACCAAGAGAATAAAAGACACTGAATTAAACTATTTTCATATACCCTAGATATAAAACTATACCATCTGCAGTAACAAAAAGCATGTTTGAACTTTTTACTGTAGATGATAGTGTTACAAAAGACTTCCCAGTAACAGTTTCCATAAGGATATAAAACACACGATTAAGAAATCAATAACTAATATGCAACTGATTGAATGAAGCATCAGTAATCAAGTCTGTGTTTGTGTGATCAGTTAACGCTTAATGGATCATCACTTAGACTTTTACAGTTAGTCCATACATTAGTTTGTAGGCCACCAAATAAGCTGTCATTCACTTTCACAAAAAAAAGGGGGCATTTCAGATTTATACATTTGATCAGGTTCTCTGAAAGCAGAACAGCACCTGTTCTCATAAACAATACGAGGCTGCAGTCAGATTCAAACATTGACACGTTTCTGACTCAGTCTTCATTTGTCACTTTTTCAAGTTTCGGAGTTGCACACAAATTAAATAATACACGAGCAGAACTAACAAAATGGTCATGACCCTGCCATATAAGATGATCTCTTCTGCATTAAATAAATCATGCATTAGTAATGAATTTGTAAAGCATGTTTTTTTTTGTTCCCCTCCCCCGTATTAAGTACCTGAGACTTCCTGTGTTTACGTTGTCAAATCTATTCTAAACCAAACCTCAGAGCAGTTTTAACAAACTCTCCAAACAGCCATAGGGCTAAAACATATTTGTAATGTAGCTTGGTGTACACTACAAGTCACATGTCTTGACACACTTTCCCATTCAATTCAATGGAGGAGTGCGTCCATGTGTTGACAGGTAGTGTATTCACTGAAAAATAAACGAAACAAAGTTAACTTGCAACATTCTCCAGTCTATATCAACAAATATACTTGTGCATGGAGACATTTCACCTATTTTATTGGAAAATTTTCAAAATAAACAAAAAATGGCACGGCAGTATAGAAATCTCTAAATGCACATAGCTAGTAGAAATACTGCAGTTCCCTCTGTGTAAATTACTTCTTGCTAGAAAATCACTGTGATAACTGCACAGGTGCTGGTTGATATACTGTACACACACACACACACATGCTTTCTTTTGTAGAGAGACACATCTGTGATATCTGAAAGTCAAGGCCCATCAAATGTAAGGTGTCTGTGTGTGTTTAGTTGCTAGGTACAGTGAGCAACATGCCAGTATAGGATATATAATGGGAAACACTGTCTTTACAAGGGCTTTGCATACATCTCATGTTATTATATAAATGGATATACCCAAGACAAAACTAAATGATAAATACATAATATATCCATGTTAGAGGCATTTGAAGAGATATGGTAAAGAGAAATTCCCATAAATGACTTTCAAAATGTACGTGTCAAACATTCTGGACTCCGATTATAAGGTAAAAACCAAACAGACCAGGGTGAACAATAGTATTTTCAGGGGTGCAAAGAGGGGAACTTGTCATAGTATAATGTTTACTGTCTGAGAGGAACCTGGAACAGTGAAGAGAGAGCTTTGGGTTATCAGGCCAAGCTGGGCTGTGCAGCACAGAGTCAGACCAGGCCAAGCAGAACCATCTTTTCTTTTCAGGCTTGTCTGACTTTGGATGGGGTGTAGTTCTTGTCCACTGACTCATCCTGTAGAAACATGTGCAGGCATCGTTCATTTTGGGCTAGAGGGTGACCGGCAACTCTGGAACACACAAGAGGAAAAGGTAGGTTTGACACCTGAGTAACAAAGACAGGGCTTAATGACATGGAAATAACGGACACGTGCAAAGATTGATGTGAACACTGGACTGATTTTAAGGTAAGAAAACTGGAGAAAAAAAGTTTAGGAATCACTTGTAGCGTGCTGCAAGTGAGGCAAGAGGTCAGCTACCATTTTAAGTGTTTAAGTGTGAACATGCAAAAGCTGGCACCTCAGTGTGTGCTTAAAACTGAAGATTAAAAAAAAAGACAAAAGGAAATGAAAAGCTTTAAAAACAAGAGTGCCCATTTATTGGTTTAAGGTACAGTAAACTTCATTTAACTGAGTTGGCAACCAAACGGTGCACAATTACACAACCACTTCAAAAGTCTTGCTTTTCATTTGTACAGGACAATAGATGTACACCTAACTACACAGCATGCTGCTTTGATGAAATGTCTATTTCTGTTCAGTGTTTGTCAAATAAATTGAAAGGCATGTAAAACAATCTCTTTTAGAGCCACATCCTAAAAAGACAGAAATGGTAACTGGGGACCCTTTGTTGCCACAAAGCTTTCCAGCTGAACAGGTGAGGAGGATGTGGTTTAACCACTGAGCTACAATGACACCCTGAAACCAGAGGTTTTAACAATCTCTGCAAAAAAAGGAAAAAAGAAAACATTTAATACATTTTATCAACAGTAACAATGGTAAAAACTCTACTTGCCGGGTGACGTGAGCGACTGTATCGCTGCTGAAGAAGCTCATTTTCATTTTGAAGGCTTAGATATTGACTTGCATTAGATAGACAACTCACGGTCACAGTCTCAGCATAGCCTACTTACATGTGCAACATAATTAGTGTGCATTACTTACAGCTTTTAACCCACTGGTTTATGACTATGTGGTTTTCACAAGCTTTTTTCTCAGCTCTATCACCTTGCTATAATAATAGCAATGATTTTTTTTCTCTCACTTCCAATACCAGAACAAAGACCCATCAAACAGGAATAAAAACACAGAGCTTTCTGTGAGAGCTTCAATAATCAGTAAATAAGGTAAATGAGATGTCCCTTCCAACCTCCTGACAATGCAACTCCACCTCCACATGAGTGTGGAGAGGCAGGTAGGTGGACTCCGGTCAAAAAAGGACATGAGTTGAGGTAAATCAATGTATTTAGGGGGCTTTGGCTTATATGGCATCTTTCTTTATATGATTTACTGAAATTACAATCTGTAGGTCACCGTCATTACCGTTACATATTATTAGAACAACTAGAACATACTGTATGTTAGGGACCGTGTTTTCCTCTGATAAAGCCACTTTGACATCAGGCTTCCTTCATGTCCCTTCAGATGACGCAAAGGAGCTTAACGAGAATGAGTCAGTGCACCTGAGACCCTACAACATCTCGCTGGAACAGATCAATGTGATGACATTGTACGTATGCATGCATCTTAACCTCTAAAAGGAAATATCTGAGACAAATTAAGTTGCCTGTGAGAGGCAATCACAGGTCAAATACCAGGGCAGTCACTGGAAAGATCAAGCCTTCACCGAACAAACCCTGTTTAATGGGTTTTGAAAATTCTGACATTGATGACAAAGTGCAGCAGAAGCATGTTCAATTCTCAAGGCCTCAGCTGCTTTTAGAAGTGGGGATGTCTTTTACCTGAAGCAGGAATTATATTTGACTAGGCTAATCAAAAACTGATATCCCCTCTCCTCCCTGTCACTTGTTTCACAGCGACAATCATGTTTACCATTCCAAAAGATTTCCTCTTCACAATGCTCTCAATCACAGATTAAACAATGCTGCCAGCCACGGCAGCCACTGTTAAGTCTGAACAATGATATGATCAACAGCAGTGTTGCATTCATAGGAAGCAAGGGGGGAAAAATCTTAATTACCAACACATTCTCATCTTCTTTAAAAACATACTTATGGATTTTAATTTTCTCAACTGTCTTTGCGCACTTAATATTCCAACAGGAAACATTGATGCATTTGCACATGAAACAAAGATAATGGCCAAGTCTGCAATCAAAGCAAATAATTACAATCACACTGTAACTTTTATTGTTCTGCAGCTGAAAACGAGGACATGCTGGATCAAAAATAAGCAGAGGTGCACACACCATCCCATGGAACCACGCGCTGTAATTTGAGCTGCAATTATCATAAATTACACATCAACAATAAAACAAATGTGGGAAAAATTATGTTGTGGGTGTGCGCACTTGAGTCCTCTTTGGCTGTTCTTGTCCTTTGCGAGGTAATTATAAAAGAGAATTAAGGAGGATAGTGAGAAAAAGACCTGCCTGTCTCCACAGGTTCAGTTTGTTAACAATATGAAGAGAAGTGAAAAAGTTGAATCTACTTATTGCACAAAGTGTTTCATTGTTCTTGAAAGTTAAAATAATACTGTGCTAAGGCAGAAGCTGCAAATGAATGCAACTACAAAGAGGAAAAAAAAAAGTAAAGAATAAATTGTTTTAACCTCACGGCAACTTAGAGAAACAGAAAAAGACTTGGGCTTACTTGTTGAGAAACTGCTCCAAACCCTGTCTACGCTCCTCAATGAAAGAATCATCAAATATCCCATCATCCCCTCGAAATGGAAGCTGTCGGAAAAGCGCTTTCCCTGGGAGAGGTGGGACGACCACCTAGGGTAAGAGAGCAACCACAGAATGGAACATATGATGAAGAGGGTTTTGGTACTTACAATTTAAAAAGAACTTTATAACTGTTCTTGAGTGAGGCTGTACAATTTGATCGGGTCAAGACATTTTTATATGCCATTTCTCAGGCTAAACACCAGATAATATATAGGCTGCCTTAACAGCACACTCCTTGATTAAAAAAAAATAAAATAAAAACATGCAGAAACAGCCAATGCTGTGTGCTCATTTGACAAGCCGAGTGCTCCAGAGCTTTTGTGTTGAGTTCACCTCAACGGCTCACCTTGCTCTCCCTCTCCAGCTCCCCTCTGAGCCACTCAAAGTCGCTGTACCGCCTCCGTACACAAGACTCCTTTAGCTTGAAGATGGGCAAGTTGGTCTGTGGACACACAAACATAGAGGTGCCACTTTTATGAGCTGCCTTAATTTAATGACGCATTTTACTTAAACCCTTATGTTTGTTACACAAAGAATAATTTTAGATTTTCTTTAAGAAAACTGCAGGAAGGCAAACGCTTAAACATTTCTGTGAATGCACATTTTGCCATATTTAGCCACTACTTTAGGATGACAGTTAGCAGCATGAACTATGTGTACATATTTTTCTTCCTGTCCAGTACTTTATTATTTTTATCATGATTAATCTGGCTGTTATTTTTTTTCAATTAACCGATTGTTTAGTGAATAAAACAGTAGAAAACAGTGAAAGATCAAGACGCCTGTCAATTTCCCAAACCCCACAGGGCCATCTTTAAGTTCCTTTTTTCTGATCACTGGTATAAAACAAAGGTCATCTATTTTGAATGACACAATAAAAAAATTTTAAAAAGCAGCAAATGCTTACATTTGAGAAGCTGAAACGAGAGATGTCTTTGTTTTGCTTGTTAAATGGTTAATCATAGCCGATAATTAAAAATTCATTTCTACAGAATCTGGAGGAAGAAAGAGTTAATTGTTGTTGTTGCACCGTCAAAGTGAGAAGCTAATGGAGTATCTTAAACAGGGTGGAGGTCACGTGCATGCGCAGTTGACTCCTTCTTACGTCAGAGACGAATAACCCAAACCAGGTTATGGATTTGTTACGATGAATACACAAAATCCATTGTTGGTTTTAGTCTCTGTATGGGATTTGTGGAAAATAGCCAAAAACAGAAAACGGGCAATTTCAACTGAAAGTTTACCAAAAATATCATAACACTGTTGCTATGGTTACATGTGGGTTAATACACCTTATAAGACTTAAAACCATGATTAAACTGTTGACTGTAAACATGTTTATCCCATAATGTTAAAATCATGGGTTGTATCTTGTGTGGCTATAGTATAAATAGCAGATTATCATTAGAAGGCTGCACAAAGAGACTGTGCAAGCTCGAAGCAGACGGAGTGAAGAGTTGTACTGCACTAGCTCTGGATACAGCCTTGTCTTACCCACTCTGACTTTATTAAAAAGGGAGCAGAAAAATAAAAGAGCAAAGACAAATTGAACCAAAATGAATAGAAAAATTTAAGCTGGCCTCCAAAAAAAAAAAAAAAAAAAAAAAAAACAAACTTATGTTTTGCTTACCAAGGTCTATCATAGTCAGAATGTGCTTTTTTTTTTTGGTGTGTTTGTGTACATCAATGCACAGATGTGTGCATACTTCTAATCTGCTGTTGGCAAGCACTTGAGAGTGAATTTCATATTTAAAAGGGGAGATGTTTCGACATTGACAGAGAACAGTGAAGCAAACAGCACAATGCCAAACCTCTTCACTAGTCCTGACAACATATGGTCCTCCGATGACTATGTATAAATAAGGAGGGCGTGAATGAGCATTTCATTGGCAGGCCAGATTCACAGAAGGTCAGAATTCATGGAAGACAGAATCACAAGGGAAAAGCAATGGAGAAAGTGGGCATAGCACAAACACAGTGTGAGTAGCAGACCGGTCAATAAGCAGATGACTGTGAGGTAAAGGCAATGGAGAGTTAACTAAAAGGCTCAGTAAATAGCTGAGTGAAAAAGTAAGGATGGGATATATGTGGCCATGAAGAAAGAGCAGAAAAACTGAAAAGGGTGGGAGGCTCATCTGGTTTGTGCAGGACCAACAGAAAGAGGAGGGAGAGCAGGAGTGGTCTTTTTTGGTCTCATGGTCTCTCCTTTTCAAGCTGAATTTGTACTTGTGCCGCTGCACATATGGAAACATGTGCATCTGTTGTTCGGAGACGCTTGCATAGCTGTTGCTTTTATAAAGCTCCACAACACCAACATGACCAGTTCACCTCAACTAGTCTTCAGCTCCATTTTAACCAGACAAACCATTTTGTCCCCATTTCTTTCTGTGACCTTTGCATCAAAGCGCAAAGACAGAAACACACTCTGCTGTATAAAAATCATTTGAAATGTCCCTGACTACCACAGCCCTTTATCCTAAAACCCAGTGAAATGACCTGGTTAAGATGACAGTTGCAATAATATGGATATTTCCTTACTATGGTTATAATCAAATGGGTGCCATTAAACCCACTGGGTCTCTGCCACCACTTCATTCTCAGTGACTCAACAATCCTGAAAACTTCCCTTTCCCACTTATTTCAAGTTCTCTCCAGGTGAAGTTGTCAATAAACCCCTCACTCCTCCTCTTTCTCAGGTCACAGAAGAAGTGGATTATCTTAGCTTTATCGCCCCAGTGCTTTAGCATTAACTCTGCTCTCCTCTCACCGTGGTCTGCCCCTGCTGTGTCATGTTACCTCACAGCATGGAGCGCCACAAAGTTAATCCCCACCACAACAGATCACAGTTACAGGTAATCTGCCACTGCCGTGACTCTAATCCCATCATGCGCACACAGAAAACACTTAACCACGCGCAAGTGCACTCGTACCGATGTGCATGCATGCACAGGTGTTGAGATTAAAGATTTGACCAGTCACACGGTTAACAATGTAAATATAATAGGCCAAAGCATTCAAGCTTGTTTGTACACACAGCTGAACCCGGACGACTCATCTCCACACAATGACGTTAACAGTGAGAGTGTAAGGAAAGAAAAGTCACCTGGCCTTTCAATCCTCTCACCCTCTCAAACCCTGTGATTAAGAGATTGGCCTTGCAGGACAAGGGGAGGACCGAAAACACAGTCCTGAAAAATGAGAGGTCTCACTCACTTCTCTCTCTCATACACACACAGAGAAAGAGGCGGTGCATGAGAGCTCTGTGAGTCAAAGATCAGGTTTCCCTGGCCTCTGTTCTCTTTATGGCTAGTTAGAGGTTAGGGCCCAGGAGTCTCAAGTTACTGGCCCCTGCAGCGATTAGGACATGGGACTAGCCCACACCCAGTCAGGTCTAAAAAGGCACACTTTGACTTTCTCACTTTCTAAGGGACAGAATAAAAAAATAAGATGCTAAAAGAAAGTAAAGATAGAAGTACAGACAAAAATGAAATCTCACAATTTAGCAAAAGCCAAACAAAAATGAGGAATTAATGGTTATACTAAAAAAGCTGGTGTAAAAGGGAGAATGCTGTTTAAAAAAAGGAGCATAAAGCTAGATGTACTTCTTTCAAGGTAGACCTCCTAGCTTCAATTTCCATTATGAGTGTACAAGGTGCAATCTACTCTCCATAGGAAGAGCATGTGATTCATAATGTGTGGGACACAATACCTTAGGCTCATTGAAAATGGGTTGAAAAGAGGCAGATCCCTTAAAAACAGCGAGACAGAGAAAGATGGAGAGAGGGGACAAAGATCACTCATCTCCTGAGAGAATAGTTCAAGGCCACCATGCATTAGCTTTTAGCAGGATGGATTAAGTCAAGTTTGAGAGTGCGCATCCTAAACCTCCCCCATGCCCCCTTCTTACCCCTCCCATATACTCCCCTTTCAGAATAATAGCATTAAAAATGGCAACATAATACCATCTCATTGCATCATATTCCAGAATGGGGGGAAAAAAGGCAGGGAACAAAAGCGTTAGGGCTATGGGTCTTTTGCTCTCGCCTCTCCATGTACTCTCTCACTCGTTCCCTTGCTAGCCGGCCCCTGCGGCCTGACAGCCTACCCTCTCTCTCTCTCCGACTCGCCTAGCTGGCAAAAAGCTGCTTTGTTGCCATAGTATCAACTCCCACTTTTGATACTGTCATTTCAAGTAGGATATGGTAGCCTTGATACAATATGTTCCCTATTTCCATTAAAATAGTTGTCGAAGAGGATGCTGTAGACTTTGGATTACACTTGACTGTGCCTGACAAGCCCCCCCCCACCCAAACACACACACACACACATACACACACACACACACACACACACACTCCTCATTTTATTAATGACCAAAGGCCCCCACCCCAGTGCCCAAATGGAAAAGAGAAAGAAAGAGTGGGAGAAGCTATGGGAGTAGAGGAGAGGAGGGGTAGAAGACTGAGTGAGAGTGAGAGACAGAGCTATAAGAGGCCTTTTATGTACTCTTATCCATAAACAAAGTGAGATCCCAAAGTTCGCTCCCCTTGAATGTGCTCTCTGGATGAGATGGGAACCAACTACAGACAAGAAATTTTGATAATACCCAGCAAACAGCCCCAACTCCAACCCCCCGTTTGCTGAGGGTCCAAACAAACACAATATGCTGCTTCAGGGCATCCTCTCAACCCCCACCCCCCAAAAAAACATCGAAGTGATATGGGTGATATGATAGGACTCTGCTGAATAACTCTGTCCATTAGGAACATGAAAAACATGCCCAGAGGCAGAGAAAAAAAAATCTACCAACTTCCTGTGGTCCATAAGAAACTACACTTAAAATGAAGGGACTTAGATTAGAAACAAATCCATTGTTTCAATGCAAATCTGGCCATTACAAGTCTGTTCAGGCAAAATGGGACACTCAGCTCTTTCAGCATGAACTTAGCTTCCACCTCTTGACTGAAAGATGTTGATTGACTCCATTGGTTTTAGACACCAAATGCCTCAAAGCCACTGCAAACAGTTAGCTTCTCACATGACAATCCAATCTTTATGCAATTTGTTTGACCACTAACTTGATAATTCAGACACAACCAGTAAGTTATATAAACGGAGCTGACATTCATTTAAACAGCGTTGAGGCAAATATTACAATTTTGTAAAGAGTTTGGTATGTTTACACTATACAACAAACCATATATAGTTATCACAGCATCTTCAGTAGCCACACTATACACTAGGCAACTGGCTACACACAGCTGGGAGTGAAATATGGTAAGTGGGCAATGAGATGAAGGCTGGTGAGGGGGTGGACTTCTGCCCTCCCATGAGTGGGGGGGTGAGGATGGGCAGTAAACACTCCAGCTCTCCCACCACCCTGGGCTGTTTCATTCTTCTCCTCTCTCAATGAGGGGATTAGGGATACTCTCTCAGTGTGGCCACAAGGCTCTCTCAATTTCAGGTGGATAACAGGACAGCAGTGAGAACAGGGGACAAAGGGATGAGTTATAAACAGAAACTGTATAGCATAATGAGACAATAAAATTAAAGTAGTTCTAAATATCATAAGAAAGATGAAACAAAAACAAAAACTAAAGCAAATGCTATGCATTCCAGGCCAAGGTATTGTGGCTAACACTCTTAGCATGCTGAAGATGGAGTAAAATGCTTCTAAAGAAAGCTGAAGAAAGGAGAAGGAGAGAAGCAAAGCAAAGTTGACACCACGTTTGTTGAGAAGTGAGGGATGCACCGCTTCTTCTGTGGTCTTATGCAAAGCAGGGTCACACAGGGCTATGAGGTGCACAATAATGCTGATTACACGCGTATGCTAATTATTACACGCTAATCAAGTACAGTAGCCTTATATTCAACGTGAATGCCCGGAGACGGCTTCTCTTCCCTCAACCAGTTTCTTTAAGGTAAAAGGAACCTATAAATACTTAAGGACTGCTAACCAATCTAAATAATCCAGGCCACTAACTACAGGGGTGTCAGTCAACTGAAATGACAATTTAGAGATAAGAGACAGGGCAATCACATGAGCCTAGTGACTGCCTGACAAATCCAGACTCGCAATACAGCCTACACATTAAAAACAAAGTCCTGAAATGGTATGTAGTGACAGACATGATAAAACCTAAATGTGAATATCTTTAGAGAAAAAAAACTTCTCAAATCCTGAAAATAGTGTAATTTTAAAAAGAATAAACTTTACCTCATGTTAACTGGTTTTCTGCACTCTACTAAACCTAAGAGTTTTGTTGTCATGTCATATTAAATACAGACTTTTGTGCTTAATCTGCCTGTAACGGAGCACTTAATGTCTAATTTGAAACGTTTCTGAAAAGATCTGAGGCAATCAAGAGGATAATAATGACCACAAACATTTGAGTGTCTCATACCTTAAATTTTTTTCAGAAAAATTTTTGACTAGAGAAATCCTCAAACTGAAGAGCACCAGAGGCATATTTTTTACATTGTTCTACACCCAAGCAGAACTATGTGAAACATTTTCTAACTGAATGCCTAATTTAAGTTAGAGAGAATTAATTCTTGACCTTAAAACAGCAATTGCAAAAACTAATCTTCATCCAAGGTCCTCTAAATGGTCTTGGTCTTATATTTGTATAGCGCCTTTCTATGCTTTACAGCACACTCAAAGCGCTTTCACACTATTTGGCCATTCACCCATTCGCACTCCCAAACACACACACATTCACACACCGGTGACATCACCGGGAGCAACTGGGGGTACAGTGTCTTGCTCAAGGACACTTCGACATGTTGACTGGACAAGCCGGGAATCGAACCGCTAATCCTCCGGTTAGGAAACGGCCCGCTCTACCTCCTGAGCCACAGCCGCCCCCTTACTAAAACTGCTTGCTCTGGAGCTTTCATCCGTATCACATGGTCTTCAACAGTAACATGAAGTTTGCAGAGCTGTCACTGAAATAGAGTAAATATTAAAACTTTCCAATGTCTACAATTCAATGACAACTGCAAATTGTTGATAAAACCTAATGATACAATTCAAAGCTCAAGAACAAATGGGATGTTCAGTTTAATATGAACATCTTCTGCTATGCGTTACTTCACTTCAGTACAGCACTGTGTTCCATTAAAGTGGCCTAAAATAAAATTTTTAATTGACTGGGTGATGTCTTTAAGTTGTATGTCTGTGACATACACAACTTAACATGACGTATTTTGCAATACCTAGTACTGACTAACTGTTAAATTCCTTAATGATTGCTCAATAATGCCACATTTCAGGGCAGCATAAAGTTCATGCTAGGTTAGGCTATTAGCTTACACTAGAAACTAATAGCCTAACCTAACTTGTTACATTTGATAAGCATTTAGATAACACTCTTACAAGAAAATGACCAACAAACAACTAGTTTTTCCATACATGAAAACAACTTCTCTGATGAGAAAAGTTTCTGTTCCCTTAGCAGTTCATCAGTTGAGTAAGAGGAAGGAAATGTGTCGTGGAGGAATGGACATGTGCTGTATCCTGTCTCCAGTTCCAGAGAAGCATAACTTACGCTATGTTCCCCTTTAGCCCCACAACGGGAATATAATACTTTGGATTGCTTTTAATGAATAATGAGTCAAGACAGCAGAGCTATAAACTGGAGGAATCTTAAACCAAATTCCCAACAAAATAATATCAGTATGATAATAAGTTGAGCGCCTTGTCACATGGATCTACCATCGTGTTAAGGTGGTTATTATGTGTGACTTATCTGTTCTTTGCAGTCAGTAAATGGGGTGTGGTTAGTGTTTAACTGAACTGTTCATGAAGGCTTTAGCTATTTGAAGGAGTCATTTGATCCTTTATTCAGCTTGCTTCAGCGATTATGTAACATTGTAGACGTTAGTCTTAAGTGAATTTGTAAAACACCTGTACTACCATGACTGGAAAACACCTTAAGGCTAATGTAAACAAATTGTCTTGGCTGAGCGATAGCAGCATGGTTACCGTTAAAGCAAACGTTAGAAAGTTCGCTGCAATTTCTAACATTGCTTGCTGTCAAAGGTTCCCCATTACTTATTAACTAACATCTAGGCAAATAGCCTTTGCGTCAGTAATCAACACATTAGTTTGATGCCTGTTAGCTAGTTTTGACGACTGTTGCTAGCCTGCTAGCTAGTGTGCTAACTCGGTCACAAACAAGGCCCTGCTCTTTTTAGATTGACGTTCACACATTTAGCCAAAATGTCGACTGTGAAATGACCTGTCTGTCTTTATTACTGTAGTAAACCTGATGTCAACCACAGCAAAAACGATAACCAGCTTAGGTAGCTATCTTAAAAGCTAACGTCATTAGCACTTGCTACTGCGAGCTCACCTTCAATCTGACTTCATACGTGGTATATCTGCCCCTGCCAACCCCGACAGTCTCAGGGTTGCTCACATCAATCTCCAAAAAATTACTCGGAGGTCCATACGCGTCATTTAAGTTTTGGGGCTTAGTGAAGAGCCTTCTTGTGTCAGCTATGGTATCAGCCATTTTTCCCTGTCCTTCTAGCAGCTACGGATAGTGTTAAGTTAGCAACAATGCGAATAAGTATATTCCGGTACTCACTTTCAAAATAAAATATTTTGCGAACGTTATGTCCGCGTAACAAAGAGTGTAGTAAAAAATCGCATTGCTTTAGCACTAAGTCTTCATTTTGTGATAATATACATTTATATGTGTCCTGTTCCACGCAACTATATCTTTTACACAACTAAAAGTACGATTTGTGCTGAAGGCAAATCACATAGGTTCCGGTACTGCTCTGTTTCTCACTGTCACTAGCTTTAAAGACATCAGCGCTGCACTTCCGATCAGCTGAAGTTCAGCTGATGTCGACGTTGCTCGGCCACCTGCTGTTTCCTTTGCTTACAACAGACCAGCGGACACATTGGTCGGATAGCTTATAGACACAAATGTCTTCATTTTAGCAGTATAGTCCGGGCGCGCCATTGTTTGCGGTGTAAAGTAGGCTAGTTGCCGTCACAATGTAGAAACACATGTTCGCCATTGTTGAAATGGTCAGGATTTGATGCCCAAATTTAATTCTTTAAAAAGGCTCACTTAGCGAAAATGTGCAGCTATAATTTATTAACAAATATGACGTCATTGAGTCGTACAAAAACAGGGGTCGATATTGGCAAAATTATGTAACTATATGTTTCTACTGTTCGACAGTTATTAGATTAATTGTAATGGCATGTGAGGGCATGTGTCTTTATCAATACTTTTTTAAAATGTCCGATCAAATGCATTCAGGACTTAACACATTTTTTTTGCTCATGGTATCGATGGTGTACGCAACAAATAAATCTCAATAAAGTTTTAACGTTTTGAAACATCATGGCGGCTTACACGGTTCATTCAGTTATCAGGTGCTCAATAAAAATGTTAATGAAAGATATAGTTATGACCCCAGGGAAATTTCTCCGCGTGTCAGTCAGATGCACTGCAGAAAGTAAGTGTCTTTCCTGCATTTTGTAGTACAGTAACTGACTTTCAGGCTGTTTGAGATGTAGTGTGTTACAACCTGTAGCCTATTCGTAGGTAATGTTAGTCTAACATTTGGTAACTGTGGTGGCTGAGTCGCCCATAGCCTCCGGAGTGACTTGATCTTTTGTGCACTCTCTTTGTATTCATTATATTTAAGCTAATCGGGGTGTTTTAAGCGCTGGGTAACGATTAACACATCTTTTCATGTAATGCTCTAAGGTTGGAGGACAGGTAGTTCATCTACTACATCCTGCTCCTCTGGGTCTCCAGTTGCAGATGTCTGTGCCTCTGCTAAACCTGTTGTACACTATGATTGCCTGGTTCAGTGTGGCTCCCTCAGGAATGATGCACAGCAGAGACATGTCCTCCAGCAGCTGTCTCAGCTGCAGCATGCCCTTAAGAACTATAATAACAGTATCTACATGAACCCACCTCCACCAAGACTGGACTCAAAAGATGACAAGAGTCAGCATCAGAAAGACACAGCCCCCTGCATTACAACAGAAAAGAAAGATGGTGATTTGGCTGTCAAGGTAATAGAGCTGTTATACTGAAATGTCTTTATTTTATTTTACTTGTCATGGTGCACTCTTATTATAGCAGTGGTTTTGAGCTAATTAAACATTTTTTTTATAACATTGTCTTCGCCATTTAGATTATACCTCATTTATCTTTTTTTATGTGACTAGTGTCCAAAAACTTAGACAATTGATCAAGATTGCCAGATGTGTCACAGTCATTTATCCAGATTTCATAAGACTTTATTCATAAATAGTGTGAAGACATTCTTTACAATTCTTCACAGAGTCCACAGCTTTGCACTCCAGTTAAATCACTGATGGTGGCCATGGGGCTCAGGTCAAAGGGAGGGCAGTAGTATGGGAAGTGTATTGTGTATGTGGGTTTCAGAACAGCATTGTATGGGGGGCTGCTGTTGTTTTTAGGTCAGGGGATCTAACTGTCTAGTATTTGGTGGTGGGAGTTTTTTGTTGGTTGGCTGGCACAGATACATAGGGTTAGGCAGAGATTTTGGAAGGCAGCAGGGCAGACCTCCCGCTGGGCACCTCCCAGCAGCCCTCTCACTCTCTCACCATCCCCATGCAGTAATGAGGAGATCCCCATAGTCTGGGCCATTCTTGTCCTTTTTGCTTTTGATTTTGGATTCTGACAAATACTTTGGTGTCAGGCTATAAACACTACCACCTCCCTCTCCTTTTGCACCTTAGTTCTTGCTCTTTCTCTCACACACATACACGCTGACTAGAGTACTTATGCAATTGTCCCATTTGAATCAGGTCATACCACTGTACTTTCACTGTCTAATCTCTCTGTGAATGTGCAGCCATTGTCCTCACTAACTGACCTAGTCTGTGAGGAGAGTATACTTGACTTAATATTGTGGTGTGGTTTTGTGGATGGGCATCTAACAATGGGCCATTGCTTAGTGGGTACCACCATCTTCAGGTCAGACCTGCATCACAGGGTCATCCTGTGCATGGCAGGCCTCCAGCAGGACAGGAAAGTTGTACCACTTAGACTGGCACAATCATTCCATTATCCTACATGACCCTAGATAAACATGTTTAAACACAGTTGTCATGAAGTCGTTTAAAAGCTAAAGTGGCCATGTCCCGTCTGTGAACTTTCCACTAATGTGCCAGTCTGTATTCTCCAACAGGAGGTGAGACAAGACCACAGAGATGAGCTAGACAGAGGGTCTGAGGGACAGTGTTGTCCTTCTCCATTCTGCCGTGGTAGAATGGCTGCCAGCCACCAATGACAATTACACCACTATGCCAGAGGGCAACTTGGGAAGTCACGGAGATGTTACCCAGTGTTATGCCAGAACAGACAGGAAAAGCCTGTTGCTCTTTCAGTATTTTGCAGTAGGTGGAGAGGAGGGGATGGGTAGAAAGTTTGTTTTTACATTTAGTTTTCAATCGGCTATTGCCTGCATTTCCTAGAGTCAAGTGCTCCTTGTCCAGTGAACAGTGAGTACCATCCCATAAAATAATTACTAAATTGAATTTTAAGAGGACAATCCCTTCTGTTTGATGAAGAGTTAATTCCAAAGCTATTCAGCGTTGCCCAGTTACAGAGATGGGCAGTTCCCAACCACACCACTGTTAAACCTTATTTAAAACATCTATAAATTGTCCTACAAATATGCTTCAAATTATCATTGCATTCACGATTAACCTGATGACACATTTGTTTACATGGCTTGGGCCTCTCTTTAGAGATATTTGGCTTTACTTGATATTCTCAACTTGGTCACATAGAACACATTTTTTCTTTAGCAAGGACCTTTTGATGCTGGGAGGCAGGCAGCACAATGACTTCCAGCAGCAACTCAATGCAACAGTACCGTATCACAATTAGCAGCACTGCACAGGCTGCACAGACAAGTCCACTCCATCTCGTATGGAGACTCATCCAGTCCTCTCTGTTTTGTCTGACAAATCCCCCTATTGTTCCTCTGATGATGCTTTTCTTTCGTGGGAACCCTGGCTTGTCTTGTTGATTAGATCCCCTTTGTCTTCTTCCCCTGCAGTGGGCTAGTGTGGAGAATGTGAAACCTCACACTGTAGTGGTGGCTTAATACCTCAGCATACTTTGTGTATTAAATGATGATTCAGTCTTATATGGTAATGAATATAAGGAAGTTTATTTATATCACCAGCTATAGTGTTTTGCACTTTTATAAGGCTTATCTGTTCATTTTGGACAAACCTGTTTATGGCTAACTACAGTAACTGTTATGCAGGTTTTAATGACAAGCAGCTGTGAAAATATCTAATATAAAACAATCTTAATACAGACTATAGTCATTTCATATTTTTTCCTATTTCCCCTGAAGGAAGAACCCACTTCACCACCAGCAGCACCACCCATAGGCTTCTATATCTATGGAGATGTTGGTAAGACTACATGTAGAACATGTCTTTTTATTCTAGAAATACATATTGAGATGACATTTTCTGTAGTGCTAAATCAGACTATCAAGACAGAATTAGAATAGTTATATTTTCCTTAATGTGTCTCCCTTTCAGGCACAGGGAAGACCATGCTTATGGATTTGTTTTATTCCTATGTGGAAAATGTACATAAAAAGAGGGTCCACTTCAATGGCTTCATGGTGGACATCCACAAAAGTCAGTATCATCTTCTCACCGTACAGCACTTAACTATTAAGGTTGGCTTTCATGTCTTTATGCAGGTTTTCTGACTTCTCTTGTGCTGGACATTCTATATTTATCTCTCTGTTTGTCCTGAAACCCTCCTACTAATTGTCTACCATTATGCATACAAGTGAAATTACTGCTTTATTCAGTGTTGTCAGTGGGTTTGGGTTGCCAGTGCAGGTGTGCTTTAAGATGTGCCTGACGTTTGTGTACTGCTTAAAGGGATCCATCGGAGCAAACAAAGCCTGCCAAAGCGAAGGCTAGGAAAAATGTTCACCTGTGACCCCATATCACTGGTTGCCATGGAGCTCAGCAAAGAAACCTGCCTCTTGTGTTTTGACGAGTTTCAGGTGAGCAAGTGTGTTAGAGGCACTGTTAGCTACAAGTAGCAAATGAGACAATAAGGATTCTGAGTTAGGCGTTTTGATCCTCTTTATATCAACTGCATGCATTTTATTAAAACAGTGAAAGTTGCAAATGAAAGCAAAGTAATTATAATAGTGGTAAATAACCTGCTAGTTTAACTCCAGATAACAATGCCATGCTAATGCTACAATATCAAAGTTGTTAAAAGAAGCACCTCTAACTGGGAGAACTAAATAAATAGCACTAGACTCTTTCAAATGTGCTAACATTTAAAAGAAACAGAGTACTGGGAGAATATATACAGTGTCTATTTATAAAAGGCATTTCAAAGGTTGTACTGTATATGGAGAAGAAAAAAAACTATTTCCTAAAAGAATGTGCTTAAAGTGTCAGGATGTTGTACAATGTTCATGTGTAAAACCCTGCTGTGATAGTACTGCCCCTGATAAAACACAATTTACAAATTTTAATCAATGTGACAGAGTTGGGCAATGGATAGTCATCTTTCAGTAAATGTTATCTGAATTAATTCAATATTATTTGTACACATTCTACATATACTTATATAAACCTATATGATTGTGTTAGTAAGAACATATTCACTATGACAGAAAGTCAAAAGCAGGTATGTTAAACTGTGTATTAGGCTCCAAAAAATGATGGCCCATTGTCAGTAGAAAACCCCGGAACGTGAGGCTTTGGTATGTACAGCAACTCAGAGAACAGAGGTGAAGAAGGAAATGAAATTTTCTTTAGGACAGTAACTTTATTTTTGAGCCTTCTCTTTTCAATAAGCCCAAAATTTTACATTTAGAATAAATTTCACTGGCTGTAGTGTTCGGTCCAGCTGGTGCCTTTCCTGTCTGGGCAACTGGAGGTTTTGGATCTTGCTACTGTGTACCCACAAAAGCAGGACTGGGGACATCTAGTGGCCTTTTTTGGATACAGTGTAATTATAAAATGACTTTGAATAGCAATGAAACATTCTGCATTCATAGTATGTATTAAAGTAGCAATTTACTAGTACAGTAGTTGTAAAATCGTGCCAGTATCATGGTATAATATTTTCATTACCAGTATTGTGAAACCGAGTGTGAAACTGAGTGTGAGTCAGTGTTTGTTTATGCACTCACATTGTTAGTTTACTTCCAAACCATTACAACCAAGTTATCTATAGTTTTTGTTCACTGAATTTATGCAGCTAAAATGCACTTTCAGCCATTAGTGCGACAAAACGTCTCATTATTTTATCCTTTAGTGTCAGAGGAGAGAGCCAGTACTGAAGCTCTCTTTTATTTGTAAGGTAGTTGGTCATTCACAGCACTATGTGTGTTTCTGTTAGCAGCACAGTGTTGCTCCTTTCAGTGATATCATTACAGTTAATGTTGGCAGGTCAAAGGTCACGGAAGGTGTTCTTGGTTTCTCTAATCACTCTCTGTGCATCTGTGAGGATCAAGAGCTGCTCCTTTCATCCGCCTGTCTCTCACATTTTAAACTGCGGCACTGTTTGTGCGTTCTCATTGATTTGTTTGCTGTAGCCAGCTTTGCTGCTTTTGCTTGTCGACTGTTGCTACCGGTGAATGGAGGGGAAAGAAGTGGACATGTGCACGTTGTTTGTGATGCATAAACAAGAGGTTGCAAGGGTGGGAG